CATCCAGCAGCCCGCAGCAGCCAGCAGCCCGCAGCAGCCAGCGGCAGGCAGCTGCAGCGAGGCGCCCGATTCGGCACCTCAGGCGCCTGATTCTGCACCTCAGCCGCCGAATTTGGGACCTGGTGGTTCAGCATCCAGCAGCCCGCAGCAGCCAGGGGCAGCCAGCGGCAGCAAGGCACCCGATTCGGCACCTCAGGCGCCGAATGCTGCGCCTCAGGCGCCTGATTCTGCACCTCAGCCGCCGAATGTGGGACCTGGTGGTTCAGCATCCAGCAGCCCGCAGCAGCCCAGCGGCAGCCAGCGGCAGCAAGGCACCCGATTCGGCACCTCAGGCGCCGAATGCTGCGCCTCAGGCGCCTGATTCTGCACCTCAGCCGCCGAATGTGGGACCTGGTGGTTCAGCATCCAGCAGCCCGCAGCAGCCAGGGGCAGCCAGCGGCAGCAAGGCACCCGATTCGGCGCCTCAGGCGCCGAATGCGGCGCCTCAGGCGCCTGATTCTGCACCTCAGCCGCCGAATGTGGGACCTGGTGGTTCAGCATCCAGCAGCCCGCAGCAGCCCAGCGGCAGCCAGCGGCATCAAGGCACCCGATTCGGCACCTCAGGCGCCGAATGCTGCGCCTCAGGCGCCTGATTCTGCACCTCAGCCGCCGAATGTGGGACCTGGTGGTTCAGCATCCAGCAGCCCGCAGCAGCCCAGCGGCAGGCAGCTGCAGCAAGGCACCCGATTCGGCACCTCAGGCGCCGAATGCTGCGCCTCAGGCGCCTGATTCTGCACCTCAGCCGCCGAATGTGGGACCTGGTGGTTCAGCATCCAGCAGCCCGCAGCAGCCAGGGGCAGCCCGCAGCAGCCAGCGGCAGGCAGCTGCAGCGAGGCGCCCGATTCGGCACCTCAGGCGCCTGATTCTGCACCTCAGCCGCCGAACGCGGCGCCTCAGGCGCCTGATTCTGCACCTCAGCCGCCGAATGTGGGACCTGGTGGTTCAGCATCCAGCAGCCCGCAGCAGCCAGCAGCCCGCAGCAGCCAGCGGCAGGCAGCTGCAGCGAGGCGCCTGATTCTGCACCTCAGCCGCCGAATGCGGGACCTGGTGGTTCAGCATCCAGCAGCCCGCAGCAGCCAGCAGCCCGCAGCAGCCAGCGGCACGCAGCTGCAGCGAGGCGCCCGATTCGGCACCTCAGGCGCCTGATTCTGCACCTCAGCCGCCGAATGTGGGACCTGTTGGTTCAGCATCCAGCAGCCCGCAGCAGCCAGGGGCAGCCAGCGGCAGCAAGGCACCCGATTCTGCACCTCAGCCGCCGAATGTGGGACCTGGTGGTTCAGCATCCAGCAGCCCGCAGCAGCCAGCAGCCCGCAGCAGCCAGCGGCAGCCAGCGGCAGCAAGGCACCCGATTCGGCACCTCAGGCGCCCGATTCGGCACCTCAGGCGCCGAATGCTGCGCCTCAGGCGCCTGATTCTGCATCTCAGCCGCCGAATGTGGGACCTGGTGGTTCAGCATCCAGCAGCCCGCAGCAGCCAGCGGCAGGCAGCGGCAGCAAGGCACCCGATTCGGCACCTCAGGCGCCGAATGCTGCGCCTCAGGCGCCTGATTCTGCACCTCAGCCGCCGAATGTGGGACCTGGTGGTTCAGCATCCAGCAGCCCGCAGCAGCCAGCGGCAGGCAGCTGCAGCAAGGCGCCCATTTCGGCACCTCAGGCGCCGATTGCGGCGCCTCAGGCTCCTGATTCTGCACCTCAGCCGCCGAATGTGGGACCTGGTGGTTCACCATCCAGCAGCCCGCAGCAGCCAGCGGCAGGCAGCGGCAGCAAGGCACCCGATTCGGCACCTCAGGCGCCGAATGCGGCGCCTCAGGCGCCTGATTCTGCACCTCAGCCGCCGAATGTGGGACCTCGTGGATCAGCATCCAGCAGCCCGCAGCAGCCAGCGGCAGGCAGCGGCAGCAAGGCACCCGATTCGGCACCTCAGGCGCCGAATGCTGCGTCTCAGGCGCCTGATTCTGCACCTCAGCCGCCGAATGTGGGACCTGGTGGTTCACCATCCAGCAGCCCGCAGCAGCCACGGGCAGGCAGCGGCAGCAAGGCACCCGATTCGGCACCTCAGCCGCCGAATGTGGGACCTGGTGTTTCAGCAGCCAGCAGCCCGCAGCAGCCAGCGGCAGGCAGCTGCAGCAAGGCACCCGATTCGGCACCTCAGGCGCCGAATGCTGCGCCTCAGGCGCCGAACGCGGCGCCTCAGGCGCCTGATTCTGCACCTCAGCCGCCGAATGTGGGACCTGGTGGTTCAGCATCCAGCAGCCCGCAGCAGCCAGCAGCCCGCAGCAGCCAGCGGCAGGCAGCTGCAGCGAGGCGCCCGATTCGGCACCTCAGGCGCCTGATTCTGCACCTCAGCCGCCGAACGCGGCGCCTCAGGCGCCTGATTCTGCACCTCAGCCGCCGAATGTGGGACCTGGTGGTTCAGCATCCAGCAGCCCGCAGCAGCCAGCAGCCCGCAGCAGCCAGCGGCAGGCAGCTGCAGCGAGGCGCCTGATTCTGCACCTCAGCCGCCGAATGCGGGACCTGGTGGTTCAGCATCCAGCAGCCCGCAGCAGCCAGCAGCCCGCAGCAGCCAGCGGCACGCAGCTGCAGCGAGGCGCCCGATTCGGCACCTCAGGCGCCTGATTCTGCACCTCAGCCGCCGAATGTGGGACCTGTTGGTTCAGCATCCAGCAGCCCGCAGCAGCCAGGGGCAGCCAGCGGCAGCAAGGCACCCGATTCTGCACCTCAGGCGCCGAATGTGGGACCTGGTGGTTCAGCATCCAGCAGCCCGCAGCAGCCAGCAGCCCGCAGCAGCCAGCGGCAGCCAGCGGCAGCAAGGCACCCGATTCGGCACCTCAGGCGCCCGATTCGGCACCTCAGGCGCCGAATGCGGCGCCTCAGGCTCCTGATTCTGCACCTCAGCCGCCGAATGTGGGACCTGGTGGTTCACCATCCAGCAGCCCGCAGCAGCCAGCGGCAGGCAGCGGCAGCAAGGCACCCGATTCGGCACCTCAGGCGCCGAATGCGGCGCCTCAGGCGCCTGATTCTGCACCTCAGCCGCCGAATGTGGGACCTCGTGGATCAGCATCCAGCAGCCCGCAGCAGCCAGCGGCAGGCAGCGGCAGCAAGGCACCCGATTCGGCACCTCAGGCGCCGAATGCTGCGTCTCAGGCGCCTGATTCTGCACCTCAGCCGCCGAATGTGGGACCTGGTGGTTCACCATCCAGCAGCCCGCAGCAGCCACGGGCAGGCAGCGGCAGCAAGGCACCCGATTCGGCACCTCAGCCGCCGAATGTGGGACCTGGTGTTTCAGCAGCCAGCAGCCCGCAGCAGCCAGCGGCAGGCAGCTGCAGCAAGGCGCCCGATTCGGCACCTCAGGCGCCGAATGCGGCGCCTCAGGCGCCTGATTCTGCACCTCAGCCGCCGAATGTGGGACCTGGTGGTTCAGCATCCAGCAGCCCGCAGCAGCCAGCGGCAGCAAGGTCCTTGATGCTGCGCCTTAGTAACATTTTGAAGAAGACATTGCAGGACAGGCGTTAAGCGTTGGCATGGATTTGAAATTCTGCTGACGATTGTATGTGCCGTTTTCCTTCTGCCAGCGCTTGTTCCATGTGACTGTCATTCCTTGCTCCGCCCAAGCAATGCCTTGGCAGCCAGCTTCTTCCGGGCTTCACTTCCGCTAGGCACCGGGTCGGCAGCAGCAAACGCTGGCAGGCGTGGTGCTGCGGGGCCCTCCATGAGCTGCACCGCCCCCCACTGGACATGTGCTTCAGGGGAGTTCACACGGCGAGCTTTGAGGCTGGTGCAGGGCTTGCCGGCTGCCTGCCTGTCTGGATCATGCAGCATGTCAATGGCAGCGCTGGACGGGCGATGCAGCTCCAGCAGCTGGGACCTGCAGTGTAAAAGGTGGGTAGGTAGGAGTTCACAAGGAGTCGGTGACCAGAGCCAGAAAGGCCACACTCTCCTGTAAAGCTGAGGCATGCTTCAGCGCCCCCGAGCAAGGGACTGCGTCAGACAATGCTGCAAGAGCTCATCTGGCAGACCCAATTGGTACAGCAGCTCACCTGCGGGCCACAGCGTGCTGGCCGCTCGCAGTACTGCCAAAGAAATCTACACTAAAAATCTGAATCTGAAGCTTGCCCTGCAATCATCATTGAAGGGCAGGAAACCGTCACAAGCAATTCAGGCAACCTTGCAGCAAGCGGCTAAGGCGCGTGGGTGTCTGCCCAATTTCATGGGCAGGCCAAGTAGCTTCCGCTCTGCCGCCCAGCATCGTGCAGCGGCACTGCCAGCGGTGTTTCATGCGCGCGAAAAGCAACCAGCAGGCGCTGCCGGGCAAACCCGCCGCCAGATGCGCTTGTTTGAGGCTGCGCTCACCTGCTCCTCTAGCTGACTCCACACCTCCTCTCCCTGCCGTGCCAGCACAACAATGCGCGCTACCTCGTACAGCGCCGTTGCCGCCAGCGGGTCCACAAAGCTGTAGAGGCTGAAGCCATCTGCAAGCGCGCTGCGGGCTGACCATTTGGCCAGCGCCGAGATGCGCGCCACTTTCATGACCTGCTGGCCACCAGCACTGCTAGAGTAGCGCGCCTCAAAGGCAAACACCTCCTCCGTAGCTGCATCCTCCACGCCGCCCAGCGCCGCTGTGTGGCAGTCACGCAGACGCCCGGCCAGCTGCCCACCCCCTCCCCACATCCCGCTATCATCATCATGGTCAGAAGGAAGGATAGACTGCCACTGCAGCGTGTGGATGCAATGGGAGGAAGCAAGCCATCATTTTGCTGGACCCCACAAACATGCTAGTCGCAGCCGCCCTGCCTGCGGAAATCACCCTGCCAGCTCACCAGGTGCAACTTAAGGGCCATGCGGGTTGGCTTCAGGCATGGCTTTTGGGACCCCAGAGTCGGCAGCGCCGCCAGCACGCTCAAGTTTGGGCTTTCGCTGGAAACCCAGAATTCCTTCTCAGGATCCAGCTGCACTGGCTTCTGCAGGCAGGCAGGCAGGCAGGCAGGCAGGGGCGGATGCGCTGTTAGGCAGGCTCACATCATGGCTGCTCAGCAGCTTGCTAAGCCATCTACCGCATTGCTCGCCTGCTCGGCAGCTGGCGCACGCAGCAGGACTTTGGCCGCACGCAGCAGGACTTTGGCAGGGATCACCACAACTTGCCTCACACACTTCCAGGGGTCCTAGCGTGCCGCCTCGTGGCTCCACCTTGACCGACAGAGCGTGCTGCCAGTTCTGCAGCAGGGAGCGGTGCAATTGTCACACAGAAGGAGGCCGAGCGCCTCGAGGAGCACCACCACAGCTGCAACAGGTGCCGAGGCAGGCAGGCTGCACCCCAACCCCTCACCTGATCCTCCACAACCGCGTACACCACGTCCCAGGGCATGTGCAGCAGCTCGCCATTGGACATCAGCAGCGCAGAAGGTGTGCGCGAGCCAGGCGGCAGGACTGGGCAGCGGCGAGCAAAAAAGGCCGAACGGTCTTCCTCCCCGTCGGCAGCTGCAGGCGGGGGCTCCTCCCACCCGCTGGCATCGCGGAATGGCCTGGGGCCCTGAGTGGCAACAGCCGCGCTTCGCCCGCTGTCCCCACGCTGCCTGCCCGATGGTGCCGCGGCAGCGCCTGTGCGGCCCGACTGCTGCTGGCGGCGAGGGTCCGGTGCGGTTGCTGGCTGCGTCGTGCCGTTCCGGCTGGCCAGGTTGGACGGGCGGAAGGGCCGCTGCCGCAGCCGAGGGGCAGCTGAGTCGCAATCCTCCTCAGAATCCAGGCCGCCCTCGCTGCTGCTGTCGCTGCTGCTGAGGTGCACTGGCCTGCGGGTGCGGCGGTATCCCGCCGCTGGCACAACATCGCTCGCCTCGCTGTCAGTAGGGCTCTCCAGAGAGCCCGGCAGCTGCGGGGGCTGCAGGCGGGCCGCGCGGCGGCGCACAGCCCCCTGCGGTGCCTGTACCTGCGCTGTCTGCTGCAGCTGCTCCCTGAGCTGTGCAATCTCGGCATCGCGCTGCTCCAGCTGCTGCTGCTGCCGTTGTGTGGCCAGCCCCAGGGCCTCAAGACGCCGGGCAAGCTCCTCCACATCGACACCACCGTGCAGCTGCTGGCTCGGCTGCTCACCGCCTGCCGCCCACCGCTGCTCCTGCTGCTGCTCCTGCGGCCGCGGCCGGCGCAGGATGGAGGCCGGCGGATCGGCAAAGGCCACTCCTGTTCGCCGCCTGCGCACGGTAGTTGCTGCTGCGGCGGCAGCCTGCTTGTCCGCACTGGTTCCCAGGCTCTCCCGGCGGCTCGCCCCTGGCTGCCGCCCATTGGTGGGCGACAGCACCTGCTGCGCGCCAGCGCTGCTTGAGGGTGCTCCTGGCGGCGACGCTGGCGGCGCCTGCCGCGGCGGGTGGGCAGTGGGAGCTGCGGGCGACTGCGCAGGCAGCGACGTGTCCTCGGCCCCAACCGCTGCTGGCGCTGCGGCCTCGTCCAAATCCAACTGCCTGACAAGCTGCGGCGCTCCTGATTCGTGTGCCAGCATTTGCTCCACGATGTCTCCCGGCTGTGCTGGCTTCCCTCCCTACAGGTGCAACAGCGCAGACGGCAGCGGCGGCAGAGCGGGCTGGGTGCGAAGGTCCCAGCGAAGCTTCTTGCGGTGACGCAATGCTACGGCTGTAGACCCAGCAAGTGCAGGGGAACTTAGCGCACCCGCACTAGGGTCGATAACCTGTCGCGGAGAAGTCTGCCCCTGGCCTCGCGTGTCTCCCGCTGTGTTCTCTTGATAGAATCCGAGGAGGGCGTGGCGGCCGTGTGGGAAATGGGCAGGCCGGGCGTCTGCGACGCCATGGCTATCGCCGCCGTATGGTCAAAGCGACTCAGCGCAAGCTGCGAGGACCGCAGAGCGTGCTAACGGGAACCAGGAGGAGCTGCAGGGCTACCTGGGAAGGTCTCATAAGTGGTGGGCAGGGTGGCCGCCAAGTCGCCGCCACGTCGCAGGCGCCACTTTACTTGCGCTGGCGCCACCGAGGTTGCCCTCACTCTCCAATCCTACTTATCCGGCGGCGATTCAAACAACGGCGGCAATTCAAACAATTACATATTGCTGTCTATTCAAACAAGCATTAGCATCGTACAAAGACAGCATCCAGCAACCCTGCCGGCCCCATGTTTTCAAACACCCTGCTGCCACCAATGCTCCCAGTCCCCCTACGCTGTGGGCACCCTGCTAAGATTGAAGGCTGAGTACCGGCACAGAGCCGCAGTGGCGGCGATGTTCTTAAACGCCGACTCCCACAGCGCTTCGGCAGCCATCTTAGCGGTCTTTACTGAAGTCGCCTTGCTGATGGTCAGGGCGGCGGGCCTGTTGCCCCCGGGCTCGGCTGCGGGCGCAATCTGCAGGGCATGACAAGCCATGGAGGGATACTACGATAGCCAGAAGCAACACTGCAGCTAGCAGCCTGGAACCCTGGTAAACATCTCCATCATCCCTGCCCGTCTGTGCTGCCTTCCCTGCTCCTCATGCAAGCGGGTGGGCTGGGCCAGCTCACCATGAGGCCCGCAAAGTCATCCTCAAACTCCGCCAGCGCCCGTGCCGCCTGCACCGCCGCTTCCCCGCGGCGCGTCATCTGCAGGGCAGCGCAGCGCAGAGGATCGATTCAGAGCGGCAGGCACCCACTGCAAAAGCAGCGTGGGCCTGCTTGCGCAGACTTTCCGTTCAGCGCCTGCCACTTGCCTTGTCCAGCACCTGCTGCACCTCGTGCGGCACCTCCTGGTCCAGCTTGATGGCCTGCCGCGCCTCCGAATCCACCAGTGCATAGTACTGGTCCAGGGCGCTGTCAATCTCGGCGGCGGCCCTGCTGCTGCGGATCAGCGGCGCCTCTGCTGCCGCTGACAGCACGCGCGCACCCTTCACGGCGTGGGTGTACTTCCAGAGGGATGGAAGGAAGTCATCTGCAGTGCAGGCCAGTGGGCGCACAGCGGCGGTTCGAGACAGCTGCCGGTGCGGGATCTCTCAAATGTCCGTTTCTCTTTCAGCCACAGCAGCAGATGGCAGCAGGTCACGAGCAGCAGATGGCCACAGAAGCAGAGACAGCCTGTTGGGCAGCCAAGCTGCCCAACAGCAACAGTAGCAGCAGCAGGCTGTACGCTACCCACCTAGCAGGTAGTCGGTGGTGTTGACAAAGGCAGCAGCCAGCGCAGGCACACGCCTGGAGGCTACACCCTTGCGAGCCACCGCGCCCAGCAGGTCGCACGCCTCCTCGATGGCCCCGTGCGTCTTCAGGCCCAGTACATGCTCCTTCAGGCGGTACAGTGCGCCGTAATCCTGCAGGTGCGAGGGCGAGTGGGGCAGGTGCACCGCCATCAGGGCGAAAGAGAGAAAAGGCCGGCAGTTGTAGGCGCAGAAAGATGGCTGAGGCAGCGGCCACCTGGCAGCTATACTCACTGCGGTCAGTTTTGCAGTAACCCTGTGTTACAGTCACCCCGCTATGATAGGCCGCGTGAGCAGACCTTGGGCAGGGGGCACACGTGATCAAGGGGCATCAAGAGAGGGGGTGGACCATGGAGCACCCTCTCCATGGCTCCGACCACCCTCCCCCCAGCTGAGCGTCCCAGGGTCACCCCACCCTGGCCCCGCTCCCCGTCCTGCCGGACACGCAACCCCCACAACGTGGTGGGGGAGCCCAGATGCATCCCCGCCAGTGACATCCGCTCACAAGATGCAAGGAAGTCTGGGCTGAACAGCACACGCTCGATGGCGCAGGCATCCAGCAGGGAGGCTGCAGCAGCAAAGCGCATGCAGAGGATACTACATCAGTATCTTACCCATCACATAGGCATCACATACACCTTGTGAGCAAAGAGATTTGCAGTGCAGTCAGGGACAGCGACGGCAAGCATGCCAACCTTGCGCCAGAACGTTGAAAAAGGCTGTGTGCCGCTCCGTCATCTCCACAATCTCCATGCTGGGCTCCAGCAGCTTCATGGCCAGCTGCTGGTCACAGGTGCCGGCCTGGGCCCCGCTCTGCTGCGAAGGGGCCAGGCAGGCACGCGGGCAGGCCGGAGTTGATTGGCACCAAGCCAGGCAGGCAGGCAGCATCGGTTTGGGCCAGCAGGCAGTCAGATGGGCAGCAAAGGGAGCCGGCATGGCTTCCTCAGACTTGCCAAGCCTTGCGGCAGTCACCAAAGCCCACGCACATTGACCGCTTTGCGAACCAGGCGCTCCAGGCAGTAGCCGCCCACCAGCAGCAAGCCATCATGAGCTGCCACATCATCCGGTTGAGGCTCGTCCTGCAGCATCGGGTTGATGTCCTTGGCCAGGCTGGCAAAGCGCTTGCTACCTGCCAAGGAAGCGGAAGGGGGGCGAGGGGCAGCCGTAAGAATGGAATGTCATTGCTCAGCACAGTGGCGATGCTGCCAAAGAAGAGGAGTGCTGGCGAGTGTATCTGGCAGGCAGGAGGAGCAGCGGCAAGAGCAGCAGCGGCGCCACAGTTCGCGGCCGTGCATTGCACACCATGCATGCAAGCACCAGCCCACCCACCGGGGGGCGCCAGCATGTCCAGCTTGCGGGCTTGCTTCAGCAGGCCACATGCCAGGTGGCTCTTGCGGGCGTACTGCACCAGCAGGTACGCCTCCACCTCATCTGCCTGCATTTCAAGGGCGGGCGAAGAGACACTCCAGACCACAAGCCTCCAATTTGCCCCACTGGGCGACATGCGGCACAGCTATAAAGATATCCAGCCAGGGCCTGCGTGCAGCCCTGCCAGGCCAAGCCAACTGACGTAGGTGGTTGTGGCGGCGAAGGCCACGACAGATGAGGCGGTGGTGTAGCAGAAGTCGGCGGCCAGCCGCAGGAGCACGCTCTTGTCGCTGTGGCGCTCCTCCAGCTTCGCATGAATTACCTGGATCTGCAGCAGGGGATGGCAAAATAATGCTGGAAAAAACGCAGGGGGGGATTCACACTGCCATCAGGTGCGGGGGGCAGGAGTGCTGATTCAGGCCGGGGCAGCGGGCCTTTGAGAGCCACCCAGTAGCCGGAGAGTTTTGAACCCACCTGCTTGGGCGCTTCCTCAACCAGACCATCCAGGAAGAACAGCCGGAGGGCCACCGTGAGCAGGTTGGCACCTGCCACCTCGTCGTCGGCGGGCATCTTCTGCACACACACATGGCGTGCCGCCATCGATGGCGGCATTGCTGATGTCAGCAATGCACAGGCCACGTGGCAGGCCCACCCAGGTGGGACAAAATAGGCATGGGCCAGCTCTAGGCAGCCAATTGCACCCATGGGCACATGTTCTTCTTGCCTCACCGTCGCCATGTGGGTGAACCACTGGTCACATGCCAGCAGGCGCGTGTACACCTCCTTCTCGCCGCCTGCATCCGCCATTTCCATCGCCTCGCCAATGCTGTGCAACACCTCTTCGAATTTTCCGCCTACGGTTTTTTTTTTCATTCATTCATTCATTCAGCACACAGACCGGCCGCCTCTTGCTCGAGGGCGGCCCACTTTGGCCTGGGCAGCCCGGGCCGCCCTCCCCCCCGGGCGCATGTTCGGTGTTGGAGGGGTGTGCCCAGCGATAGGGGGGCCCTGAAGGCATGCGCCGAGGCCGGGAAGCGTGGTTCGGCGCTGCTGCACGCTTGGCGATTTGACCAGAACCACGTGCCGCCGAGCTGCGGCCGCAGTTTCCGGCCCACGGTCTACGGTCGCAGCCACGGGACTCGGCGGCACGGCGTTTGGGCCCAAGCTTGCTGCCGCCGCCGCCGTGCCCGGGGGGCAGCGCGGCGGCGGCGGCGGCACGCTGCGACGCCCCCGTGCTGCCGAGCTGCAGCCGTAGTTTCCTGCCAGAAGCCCACGGCCACAGCCACGGGACTCGGCGGCACGGAGTTTCGGTCCACGGCTTGCTGCCGCCGCCGTCGCAGGGGTGCTGCCTGCGGCGGCGGCGGCACGGCGTTTGGGTCCACGGCTTGCTGCCGCTGCCGCCGCCGCAGGGGTGCTGCCTGCGGCGGCGGCGGTAGCGCACGTGGCAACCCCCCGCGTTTCCTTGCCTCCCATCCACCGGACCCCGTCCTGCGCTTCACTTTGTTTAGGGAGGGGCTGCTCACTGCTCATTGCTCATTGCTCATCGCACACTGCTCAACGCTCATGCCCTA